CTTTTTCAAAGTTGCCTTCCTTTGATATCGCTGCTCTCACTCCATTCGCAATCTTTTCTTCGCTGATCAAAGACCCTAATAGTCCAGTCAAGGACGATCCTTTCATCATTCACCCAGCTAGCCTGGGAGCACCTCCCAAAGATCAAACGGAGCTAAGATCACAAAGAGATCACTTGGAAAAGATGATGAAGGATTTGGATGCTTTGGAGCCAACATTACTGGAAAGAACAGAGAGCTTCGACTCGATAGCATCGTACGAATCAGCCAAAAAGGTCACCCCAGCAACCAGCGTATCTGAGGCATCTGGCGCAGGCTGGTCCGGTTATTTCAGTGGTTGGTGGCCGACGCCAAAGGAACAAACGGAACCAAGTATTAAAAGCAAGGATGAATGATTACAATCATCATATGTACAGAACCTCGAACCCTTTAACTATCAACGGTCACCCTCTGATTTGTATTCTGGTCTTTTGCCTATTATAATGTAATTGCCTCGTAAATCTCCTTTTTTCAAGCCTTCCTTTGCTATCCCACGATCGCTCGACTGCTGCTTTTATCCCAAGCCAACTGAAATTTTCCTATCTAAATACGGAAAATTTGCGGTGAAAAAATGAAGATCAAACTTTGTTACTTCTTGGTTGCTATTGCAACACCCATGATTATTGTTTGTGGAGCAGACATAGACAACCAGCCTTCATATGCCTTCTGCAATAAATGTATAGCGACCAACATATGTTTCTTCTTCGTGATTTTCATGCACAAATCTCCCATGTGCTTCGTTATATTGTTTAATCCTGCCGTGCCGTTGGTGAGTGTTCATCCAACCCTTGGTCCATTCTATAATCCTTGGCCAGATGCGCCAAAATGATAGTATCGAGATTGATTCAAAACAGTAATGCCTGGGAAATCTCACTTTATTTTCTAATCTCCTTTTGCACTCTCTTCTTCCTGGCACTGCCAAAGCTTGTATGGTCAAATCTGCCTCACCTCGACCTGATAACGTCTCAATATCAGGCGAATCGCGCGCTTGTTCTTACGATGGTAAAGGAAACTGTTCAATAAACCAGCAGCTTTTCTGGCACAACAAACACATAATCATATTTCCTCTCGTTTGATAGGCAAGTTTGAACACTCGGCCATGTACTTGGAGCCAGCAGATGAAAAATTAGGCTTAGTGCGAAACGCCTCCAACACGTCGGCTTTCATTAACATTGTGTAAGTGAAAAGGTGAATCAGTATCTATACGATCAACCATGATTAACCCGGCCTTATGTGTAGCTGCGTTGTGGCAGGTAGCGGCACACTCGGTATTCCATATGCACTCCGGCAATCCGGTTGGATAGGATTATTTCTATTGATGTTGAGCGCGGTAATGTCAAACTATGCTGGAGCCCTGTTGATCAAATGCCTTTATTATGACCCGTAGGTATCTTGACTATATCTGACGGTAGAGTGGATTGCAGTGGACTTGGTACCGACGCTTGGACCGTGCCAATTTGTCTGCCGCTATAATCTATCGAGAAAAATTTCATGCTGACTTGTCCTTTTATCCCGTACCTAGTAAACGGCGACTCTCAGGCTTCCCAGAAATTGGCTATGAGGCGTTCGGAAAAGCAGGTCGTGCACTAGTCCTCGCATTCAATTATACACTACTATTGACAACTCCAGTTCTGTACCTCATTTTGGCCGGCGACAACCTTGCTGCGCTCATGCAGCCCTTGAACGTACCGATTACAATGAAGGCTTGGGTCTGGATTTTGACCTTCGCTGTATGTATCCCATTTATTGTGGTGAAAAATATGAAAGAAGTAGCTGTCATGAGGTAAGCAAATTAGGGAAAAAAATTGAAAAAGAGTTTATTTTAAGGTACATCCAAACTGACAAGCATGCAACAGTTTCTTTGGAAGTCTAGCGACAGTTTGCGTTGTAATTGTAGTAGCTGTCATGTCGGTGGCAGACTTTGAACAAACTCGCATGGATCATCAGCATGACATTGCAAGACCGAGATATTTCCCGATCGCTCTCTGCATGTTTGCTTTCTCATATGGTGGAAATGTCATATATCCCCAAGTCGAAGAATCCATGAGAGATCCAAAGAGCTGGAATAAGGTCTTGCTGGCCGCAAATTTTCTCATCACCTCCATGTACATTCTGACAGGTGTACCATGCTACCTAGTCTACGGAAATACAGTCAAATCACCCGTATACGCTAGTATTCCAGCTGGAGCTCCTCAAAACATCGCCATGGTGGTCATTACCATTCACGTCCTCCTCGCCATTCCCATATATCTATTTTCATTCACCATGGAGATCGAGCGAATGCTGGGCATAACACAAGCAAACGAACGATTTTCCAAGTTTACGTGGCTTACATTCCGCACCATATTGCGCATAGCTGAGCTGTGCTTTTGCGCGACCATTGCCATCATCATTCCTTTCTTCGGCGACTTCATGGCTCTATTAGGTGCATTGGCCTCAGGATTCCTTCTTCTCGTATTTCCCTGTCTATTCTACGTGAAACTGTTTGGACGTGCACGCATAGGATGGGTTAATTTTGTAGCTTGTATATGTATTTGTGTCATTGGTGTCCTTTGTGCCGTTATAGGAACGGTCGATGCTATCACTGCCCTTGTTAAAGATTTTCAAGGCGTAGCATAGGGTAGCGTTTGTTCAGGAGAAATTAGAGTACCTTTCACCAGTGCATGGTTTACGAAAATATCCTTGCTTCTGGTTTCGGTTGTGTAAAAATGGTTTTTAATACAACATTTGCATACCAAAAATACATAATTGTTTAGAAGACGAGAAGTTGTATGATATCCCCATACCATACTGAAATAGAATATGGTGTTTGTAGATGGATAGAATGTTTGTAGATGGCAGTTTGCATTAAAGTCCTATAAATGGAAAATTTGATTGGAAATTCTGCAATAGTTACAAAAAGAGTGATATCTGTAGGATGAACCGTTTGCAACCGACAACTAAAAACCATTAGAACAAGGCACAGTGAGGGTGTAGCGAAATTGACCCCCGACGTAGTTTCAACTCACCTAGTCCGTTTATGCCAGGTTATCATTGGGCATACTCTTTGAACGCATAATCCATCAGTAGCCGCATTTCATTCAGTTGTTTCTCCTCCAACCGAGTAACACTGTCACCTCGCTCAACTTGGTCAACAAAGGCTTGGGCCCCTCGGTTACTGTCGTTGCCATAAACTGTCTTTAAAAGCGGATGCTGGATCTTGCGAAACCACCACTTAGAATTCCAAAAATCTCCCTCTCGTCTATGCACAATGGCGTGCCAGTAATTTGCAGTTTGATCCGGGTCAAGTGGCTCTACGAGATCGTGCGCTCGTTTCCAATCGTCGTTCATAAGGTGTAACCCCGCTTTGACATTTGCGTGAAACGGCAGTGCATCAATCTTGGCTGTCAGATCTCGGTTATATACCTGAGCCGGACAAAGTGGAGGCAAGGGTTTTCTCGCACAAAGTTCTTCGAGGATAGGTCCTGGTGTCGGCAGTCGTGTTAGGCCCATAGAGAGGTTAGGGGTGTGAGTGGTGAGTAGCACTTTGTTCGGTGGCAATAGCTGTCGGCGCTGAAAGTAGGTTTCTGCAGGTCACATGGTATGAACGAGAAGCTTTTAGCACATAAAATGCCTCCGTTAGTATTTTTTTGGGTGAATTTCTAGTAGCAGGCCAAAACAAGGCATATTAAACTAAGGAAAGGGGTGTACCTTTCATTGTTCGAAGTAATGCACCTGCCAACTTCCAGCATATTCAGCTGCGTTCATTTGACGGTCTCCTTACAGCCCTGGAATACTTCCTAGAGCTCGGATAGGGGATAAAAGAAATGTGATATGCATACAGCCACCTTTCCATCGGCTGAAACGGTTTTAAATTTCAACTTGAGCCCAAAATTTATACATTTCTTCACTGGTTTGTGAGCACCGCCAAGTGATGTCCTTCCTTTGCTTTTCGATAAATCTTTTTTGTTGGATGCTTGTTGGTCTACTGATTGACTTCCAAGCAAAAGACAAAATGAAAACGGCCAGAGTATATCACGCGAGCGTTTGTCCGAGTAGCCCATTAACCAAGGTAGGTTGGCTTCAACGAAAAACTGCAAATGACGATAGTGACGACGCACTTCCATTGCGAGCTCAATTGAGCCAGCCTCAAATAAATAATCTATAGACTGATTATGATTTATTTTTCCAACTGAGCAATCTTGCAAAGCGTGAGTATTCCTTCACATTCGATTTCTTTTATATTTGCCCCAGACTTTTCCGCTGATAAACTGTTAATTGTGTAATACAAAGTAGAGAATATAGTAACCAGCTCTGTAGAGAAGTTTTTAAATCTCGAATGCCACCTTAACATTTTCGTATATAACACAAGTTCTCCTTCTTTAGTGGTGTAGTAGACAGGTACAGTCTCAACTAATAAGTTTCTCTTTGCTTCACACTGTGTAGAAGTCGTTTTTTTTACGGACCTCAAGACTGGAGAAATCTAACATGCAGATACTTCAGAGCCAGTAAAAAATATTTTGGTCTCCTGTGCATAAAAATTATGCCACAAGTTGTACATATGGATGAACACTATCGCCTCTTGAAATTATTATTACATAGCTATCGTCTACTGTTTTCCTCCTTCATGAAATCCCTTACAAATTGATCCTGTCACAGATTTTCTCACTAGTACACATTACATGAATCCAACCAGTGCGATACTACGTCATCAAATATGAAAGATATTTTTGTCATTTAAACTATATCTCCTGTTCCACCTCATCAGGGCCGAATTTAATTGTATCGAACCAGAGCTTATGTCCATATAAATGTAATGAACAGTTCAAAGTGATCATTTGCCAAGCGTATCATATCAAACTAGCATCTAAAATAAAAGTCTGAGTTTTAAACGAGGTAAACATCAGAAATGCCGAGTTTCAAAAAAAAGACTCTTGGTGCAATGGAAAAATTCCCTAACAGGAACCGTTTAGCCCTGGGTTCGAGGCAAGATGACCGAGTGGTTAAGGTGTTTGACTTAAGATCAAATCAGCGTAAGCTGGCGCGGGTTCGAACCCCGCTCTTGTCACCAAATTTTGATCTTTGAAATTAATTTTGTTATACTTTTGCTCACTCGACTGTTGACGAATCTACATTTTGAATTGAATTCATGCATTTTATAATTTACTTCAAATCAAGTGCATTGATGTATGACCATTCCCCATCGCTGTCGTGGGTATTCGTTCTGGGTCCACGGTTCTGGGTCAACTTAGTTTTTAAGTGTCCAGCCCAGCTGAACAGGCATTAGCAAACTCCTCACTGGCTATGATATATCTATTCCAAATATTCGCCTGCTTTGATTGTTGGTTTGTTTTGCTAAGACTGTTACGTCTGGGTTTTGACAGGATTCTTATCAACGTATTGTCTTGACAACTGAACGTGGACAACGAGCAGCTGGCGTCCAACGTAAACTTTCAGCTTAACAAGGTAAATGGAGGAACTTTATAACTGTGTTCAACACAGGTTCTATTCTTCGGATCAATATTAAGTCAACGGAAAATAAAGGTCGCTGTATGATACGCCGTGGATTATACTGCAGTTAATCAGCAGGTTTAGTAGATAGCTTGCAACGCGTTCAAGAGACTATGTTCAGCGTCGTCCTGTTTGTACAAATGATAACAATCAAAAAATGGTTAGCCAAAAATAACTCTTTGAGGGCATTTGCGAGTTTATCATTTCTAATCGTTCGCTTACCATCTCAAGAGACCACATCATGATACCACCAAGGTTTTGCTTCTTGGCATATTGAGCCTTGAGAGTGAGACTTTTGGGATCGTCAAAAGTAACAAATTGACTGTCAGTGGCCTTGAAAGCATAAGGAGTTTTGTTGGCCGAACTCCAGTATGACTTCCAGCCGTTCTTGTTCTGGAGAATGCCGAGTTCCTTGATAGTACGCCATTGCATCTCACCAGAGTAAGCAGCCACTGCACCAGGGCAAGGGTCAGCACCCTTGGTATCATATTGATCACCCTGAATAGCGTTGGTATTCATAGGAACACTCTGGCCAGTCTTAGCAGTAATGGGAACCTTAGTGTCAATAGTAAATCCATAGAAAGGTACTCCAAGAACAAGCTGGTCTTTGGGAATACCGGCCTTGCTCCATGCAGCGATGGAGACAGAGGCTGAAGAGTCGTCATACTTGGTAGAGTAGAGAGGAGAATTGGAAGAAGTGTCGGTTTTCCTGTAAAATAAAACAAAAAATTCAATATTTATCGTACTCCAATGTTTTGAAGCGAGAATCCTGCCATTACCAGTTGCCGGCGATATCGTAAGCCTGGTAGGATTGATGTCGTTAACAATTTTGAGTTTTGTTTACATAACATTTGTGCATGAATAGTCTTACCATAATATAAAAGTAATCCATAGCAGCGGCCCAACCAGGAAGCCTGGAAGAAGGATTACCAGATGCATCATTGAAAGGAGAGGTGGAGACGGCGGCAGTGATCAATTTGGCAGACTTGAAGTTTGCCTGGAGCTTTTTGCGGAGCAACTGAACAAAGGACAAGAAGTTTGCGGTGTCATGGGCATCTCTATTGACAGGAAAAAGATGAGATTAATGCCAAGGAACTTTGAAGTAATACAGCTATTTTTGATAAAGCTGCCGTCTCATCTTACATTGCGTTACAGGCAACGCCGTTGGGGTTATTAGGGTATTCCCAGTCAAGATTGAGACCGTCTAAGTCGTAGTCCTTGACGGCCTTTGCGAGAACATCGGTCCAAGCATCGCGTGAGCTTGCAGTTTTAACTAGGTTGCTGAAGTAGAGAGAACCAGTCCATCTATTATCACGTTGTTAAAGCCGAATTTTTTTTTTTTTGGAAATTGAAAAAGATTTCGAGTTTGCCGTGAAGTGAGCGAGTTGCCGTGAAGTAAGCGAGTGATCAAGTTGAAATAGGTTGAATGTATGTAAAGTTAGTTTTAAAGCGCTGAATCAAGCTCATGTCATAATCTCTTGGGCCACGGCGGAAAAGCTTACCCTCCAACAGCCAAAGAAACAGCCTTGCCGTGTGCATGAGCGTCCTTTACAACGCCCTGGAGTTGAGATACAGAGAATTGGCCAAGGGCACCAGTTTTATCAGGAACAGCGAACGAGTAGAGAAGATGATCAAGTTTGTCGTAAGAGATGTTGGTGGGGAGGTCCCTAAGTTATTCAGTTGATGTTAGAGAGGAGTCTTATTTACACACTATTCCTTACACTTTAACCTACCAGTCGGTTACGTAGGCGCTCACTTTGCCGTGTTTCTTGGGTTTAGAACCGCAAGCAACTGCGGATATGACCAGTTGCGCCAATACAGCAAAGATGGCAATTCTGACCATTGAATATTAAAGAAAAGAGAGGAAAGGATAGTTTAGCTGGAATGGGTTGAACATGGGACTTAAAGCACTTCTTTTATTGTCGATGAGGGGACCCTGTTCGGCAGTATAATGCTGTGTGACTGATCCCTGCTCCACATCGCCAAATTTTATGTTGAAATCAACTACAGGAATCGTCACTGTAGACGCCTTAGATGTTGGATCCCCCTCTATTGTCCGGCACAATTAATAACTTTAACGATGGTTGCCAGTAAGGACTATTTCAACAGTACATGGTGTTATATTTTTTTAGTGAGGAACATTTTTAATGGACCCTAATTTTTGGTTTAATTGTAAGGGTTACACCGGTCTAACAGTAAGTTAAGTTGGATGAGGCGGAGGGCCTGTACTATGCTGGAGATATTGCTCATTTTGGAACAGATTTCAAATACTCCAAGTGGAGCTTCTTTTGCGCATCCCATTCCTTCTGGAGCTTTTTTCGTCGACTCTTGGCCACTTCGGTGCCTTCATTGTCATGAGTAGGAATGCCATTCTCATCAAACTTTGAGAATTCCTTGTCGAGGCCCAAAAACATCTGTTCAGGTGCAACTTTTCCCTTCTCCAATCGCTCCAGGCGCTTTTGTTCTAGTAGAGCAGCAGCCTGCGCTTTTTTAGCTTGTTTCTCCGCTTCACGGGCTCTTTTGATCTCACGTTGTTTGATGAGCTCATCTTTGTCCACAAATTTAATAAGTGCTGTGCCATCTAGAAGAAAAAATGTTAGTTAAATTTGGTAAAAATGCACGTTTGTCTCGTGTGTCTATCGCTTGTTCCATATCGCACAATCTTACCTTCTTGGTCATCCAATAAAACACCTAATTCAACAAGCTCATCATCTCTTAGTTTGTCGCTCAAAGCCAAGAATTCGGTGTGGGTCTTCTGCTCTTTCGCGAAACCTCGGACACTGTCACGGAATTTAGAAAGCACATCGAGATAAGGCATAACAGCATCTTCGAGCTGTGAAAAGAAATGTCAGATATGTGGCGGGATGGTGTTCGATTCGCGTCACCGATCGTCGGTTTACTTACATTGGCAGCACCAGCATTATTTGTAGCGCCAAATCCTATCTCAGCTCCGTTGTCTGCTACACCAAATACCTTGAGCATGGAGGTGGTCCACTTTGCCACTTTCTCCAGCACGTGGATGTTGACTAGATTTCCTTTGGAAGCAGCATACTTGTTCGCTTGACTAATAAGGTCAAGCATTTCTTGAACGGCAAGCGGAGTATTGATTGAGTCACAGAGCGCTGCATGAACGTTGTCTTGCTTTTGAGCAAGGCTGCACGGCAAACGGTTAGATGACATGAGTACTTATACTGTGTTGAAACACAGAAAACTCACATGTTCATAAGTTCTCGTTCTTCATCATTGAATCGGTGAGTAAGAGAACCATCCGACTTTTCTATGGCACCACGACTACCATCTTCACGAATCTTTCGTCCCATAGCTTTGACGTAAAGGAAGAAGTTCTGCGGTGTAACGGATTTAGTTCAATACGGGGTCGCTTGCATTCACTTCTTTAAACTTTGGAACACTCCTTACGTTCATAAACTTTTCTTTATCCATGGTATCTTGCATGCCAGTGTCTTTGAAGTCCATTCTGGAATCCCATTGATGCATCAAATAGAAAAGTCTCAATTGGCGAGAAGTGTATTTTTTCAGAGCCTCTTCAATACTGATAAAGTTCTTCAGACTTTTGCTCATCTTTTGTCCTTCAACATGGAGATGGCCAGCGTGCAAAAAGTAATTGACCCATTGCTTGCAGTTATAATAAGCTTCAGACTGAGCAATTTCGTTGTCATGATGAGGGAATGCGAGATCGCTACCTCCAGAGTGGATATCAATGTTTTCCGGAAGCACAGCACTACATGAGACACCAAGAGTAAAGTATGCAAAAACAACGAATGTGCATGAGTAAGCTATTGTCTTGGTTGAACGGTAAATGTCGATTAAATGCCCCTTACCCAGCCATAACAGAGCACTCAATGTGCCAGCCTGGTCGGCCCTTGCCCCATGGTGAATCCCAAGTTGGTTCACCTGGCTTCGATGTTTTCCACAAAGCAAAGTCATTGGGGCTACGCTTTCCTTCAAGCTTGGATCCGAGAGAGCCTTCGCCATCATCTATAAGTTCTTGGTTACCCTTGGACCATGGTTCAAGTTTTGCATAGTGATGACCATCATGGCCATCATATTTGCCAGTATCAAAGTAGACTGAACCCGACGCCTCATAGGCGTAACCATTTTCGATGATTTTTTGAACATAGTCTACAATTTCCGGCACATATTCACTGACTCTGGTTTGAACATCGGGTAGACGGACATTCAAGGCAGCCATGTCTTCGTAAAATTTATCTTCCCAGTAAGCGGGCAATTGACGGAAAACCTTGGGATCGTTGACTTGGTCCTTTTTCTGTAAACAATGGACGAAAAAATTTCCCCAAAAAAATTAAGAAGGATAGAGAAATTAGTAAGGTTGCATATCAATAGCTGGACTGACTCGTTGTATACTAATCCAAAGACCTACCTCCTTATCCAGCCAAAGGCAAACGACATCCTTTGATTGTTCCAACAACGCACCAGCATTTTCCTTGCCAGTGCTATTTGCTGCCAACTCTTTCTCAGCATTTACTATTGCGTTATATGAGTTGTCCTACAATCAATGGTAAACATCTTGTGGACGAA